TTTTTTTTGAATTATATAAATTAATCAACAGCAACTATTCCTACCTAAAAGGAAGTGCTGTATCTTTGATACAAGTATCTTAGATACAATATTGATAAAATATACGCGATAACACCCGTAAGATGAAATTGAATTTCGGGAGGGGGGGTTGTATACAATTTAATTTTGGTTGTACAAAATTGTACAAAATAAAGTACATAATACTGCTTGATTACAATTCATGATTTCGAAAGTGCGGGTGCTGGGGTAATGCACCTATTTTAGGTCTAGTGTCCACCAAAGTAACGTAACGCAGTGGCGTATACAAAGGGGGTGTTTGGTAGATATGACACCCCCCTTGAGCCGTATCATATATTACATTATTATAGGAATATAGATAAATCGATAATACAATATGAAATATAAAATAATGCACAATACTAATTACATATATACAGGTTAACATTATCGCGATTGCGACAATACGTGACGACAATTATTCGTTTACGTTTTCGTGTAACGCAAAACGTTTAATAATAATAGGTATTGTAGCATCGAATACTGGTATTCGAATAATTTATGGTAAAGCTATCCGAATTCGAATATATATTACATCTCTATTACAGACATTATGTATACATATTAATTAATTAAAATAAAAGTTTTAGTTTGTACGTATTATATATAATATTTAATAATTATAATTAACACCCCCCTTCAGAAAATCATAGCTACGCCACTGACGTAACGTATGGCGTGACAAGTGATGTAGTAAACACGTAACAACAAAAATTACGTATGGTGACACAACGCCTATCTATGTACCCAGGGCCGTCCCGAAGATGAAAATCAAGGGGGGGGGGGTGAATAATATGAAAAATTTTGACTACAATTTTTTTTATTCAATGTATGTAGTATAATTAACTATATGTAGTCGTATTTTTACTTTTTAACATGTATATATGTGTTAATGTCGCATGTTCTTAAAATTGACAATTTAATTATATTAAATTTATATTATTATAATATTTTATATTGTATAATAAGTCGTTATATAAATTTTATTCGTGTATACACTGTGCTACGAAAATTGTAATATTTGTTTTCCGTAAGTAAAATTAGGTCCTTCTAGGCTATAATGAAACAAGTCCGACTGCCGACTGGTGTTTTCGTTGGGGGGGTTGAAACACCCCCCCAAGACCCACCTTCGGTACGACCCTGTATGTACCTAGTAACTAGTATCATCAGTTGTCAATATATCTACTTTTTCATCGAATGATGAAAGTGCTATGGCATTAGTGAATTTAATCGATGTTAATAACGCAAATAATAAAAAAAAGACGGTACCGGGTTCATCCATACTGAAAAAAGAATCAAATAATTTAATCATAGGGTTTTTGATGTATTCAAGAGCTGCATGTCTATCCAGAGCGATTTCAATAATTTTACAGAATTAAACTATCGATCAAATTAATATTTATGTACAAATTACTTACCAAGTGGAATTATAATTAATATTGTATGCATTATTATTCATAAAATCTTTTCCCGAGTATTATCGATTATGTTTTTATTGTTGTAATCCGGAGTACTATGGTTAGGTCAGATACAAGTACGTCGATTAGTTTCAATTATACTAACAAAATATATAATCAAATTTGGATCATCTTTCATTTGAAAAACAAATAAAAATTTCAAACTTTTAAAAATGGATATAATGAATAGATTACAATAATTTCCAAGCGCTTGTCACTAGAACAATACAGCATGTGGTATAAAACGGAACGTGCAGCATTTGAATGACGCCGACGTTACATACCATTTGTCATATCACTATCGTATCAGTGTAGTTGGCATTAAATCTGTGTCTTGCATTGTTTCGATACAAAGTAGCGTGCTTGATGCACGGTACTTGTTCACCACTTGCCACGCTATACGCCACGTTACTTTGGTAGTCGTTCGGCCTTACAGCTACTGTCTTCAGTACTCCAGCTCAACAATTGTTAATATATTTTTGAAACTTAAAATCAAAAAAATACTACACAATTCTACCCTGTAATGCGTTCTATTTTAGTAAGTAGAAAAAACTATTCTGAAATCCTATACTTAATTCATACATTTAGATATTTACTGTACATACGGATCTTGGTGGTAGCTGTACATTATTGTTAATCGGTAATATAATGGTCATTTAATTATCGGCATGATTTATATACATTTGTACCCAAGTAAATACCACATGGTATGCCTGTAAAATATAAAATTGTATTATTTATTACCTGTAATCCTTATTTATAGATAAAAGAAATTTTATTTTCAATTAGAATTTTCTTAGAAAAACTTGTTTGAAAAAAAATAAAACAACATACAGTTCATGTTCAGAAATTACAATACCAAACGAGTCGATAGTCGTACAAGAAATGGGTGGTTTATGTTCACATTACCATGATAATATTATTTTTAGACCAATTGTCTTTAACGTTTCTGAAACCGCTGTCAACATTTACCTTAATTAGGCGTATGAATCCTATAATTTATAAGTAATATTTATTTTTTTTTTTTGCATTTTCCGTTAATGGTATAAAATATGTATATATATTAATATGCAATTATGCGGGTGTTGACCTTGTCCGATATTGTACACAAAGCATAATATAACATAGTCGTGAATCGCAAATCGTTACCATTTACATAACCCGCGTGACGAAAAACAAAACGGTTCCGGTGTTTTATTTATTTTGTTATAAGTTTCACAGACATTGATATTATCATTTAAATTTAAGCATATTAATATCGATTTTGACACATTTTTTTTTAAAATTATGTACATATGAGAGCTATAATTGTTCTTGGTGAAAAACCACACGGAGGAAGAAGGGTTACCGAGTACGTCTTTTAGTATTTTGTTGGAATTCGGTCGTTTTCTAAACGATTATGTATTATACAAGTTGTCGTTTCGTCAAACCCTTTGTCTCGAGTTTACTGGTTAACTTAGGAGGTGTTTTCTTCATCTTCTATTCGTTTTTCATTACGTTTCGTTTCGTAAATCAGATTTTTACAATTCAAATCTCCTTGTCCATCGGATTACAATGCACAGTGTATTTGATTAGAAGTTGGTATTCTCATTAAATCATACGTTCATACCGATGACATCTGTATACATAGGCGTGCGCAGACCACTTTTTCAGGGTATGCAGAAGGCTGCCACTGCCAACCTCCCCCCACCCTAAAACTGAAAATTAATTTAAGCGTTCGAAATTCTGGTCCTAATAACTATTTAATTTAAAATTTTAATTTATTTTTCCCGAAAAAAATGACTAAATAATCATTTCTTAATCGTTATAATTGTCTTCATAATTAAAATTTAAAATAAATTACGAAAAAAAAAAAATTAAATACATAACACTTGAAATGGTTTGAGTAATACGTTTAAATAGAGTAAATAAATAAAAACGTAATTATATACTTAAATGAAAAACAAAATAAATTTGATAAATAATCAAAATTAATCATAAAACGATTCTGCATACAGTTAAATTGTTAAATCACCGATAATGTTTTCGGGATTTTAATTTATAGTTATTTCTTGTTCTGTAGTTGATAGCTATTTAATCTTGCTTGAATTATTGTACTTCTTAATTTCATTGACACATTAAATCGTTATTATAGTATATGATTTGTGATTCAAAAATAAATTAAACTGTCTGGGATTGAATATGAAAATATAATAAAAATCATAATGTAATACAAAAATACATAATGTACATAAGACCAAATATGTCATAATTTTTATTTATTTTTTTTAATTTTAGAAAGAAGGCTCTATGTTTAGGGTATGCAGTTGCATACCCTGCATACCCCCTACGCACGCCTATGTTTCTGATTGTCATTAATCGTCTTCACGTATTATCTACAGTAGTGTGGTGTTACGACCAGTAGTCCCACTTACCAACTGTTCAATTCTTATCTTGCGAGTTATTTTATATTTATCTAATAATTTTTACCTGTCTTTGTCAAACAAAACAGGTTGAACAACTTAAAAAATGTGTAAAAACTAACATAAAATATTAATTTTTTTTCGTAATTAAAAATGTATTTATTTCCGTTTGAGAACGAAAAATATTTTTCTGGTTAACTATTTCATTTTCGTTCAAACACATTTTCTAATAAAACTGGTTAATAAAAAATTCGGTTTTAACCCGTTTGAAGCCCTGATTTTAACCTAATGTACCAATATATATTTATATATAAAATTACTCTCGTATTAAATTACTATCGTACTAACGATATAAAGTTAGATAAAACTAAGTAATTACAAATTAAATACGAATAAACCTATTAGATATTTTAATTTAATTCAGTTAACGTTGAAGTGTTGTGAGTGTTCATTGTGTATACTGGTTAGCAGACTTGGGTAGTATTCCGAATACAATATTCGGAATACTGTATTTCGAATACCGTTAAATCATCTCTTTTTTAAATGATTTTATTACTTCTCTGTCGTATCTTGTATAAGCTAATATCAGGTATTTATTATTATTGTAAACCATAAATTATAACAATTATGTATTATAAAAATACAATAAAATAAGATATATTTAGTCTACAATTTCAAATATTTCTGTTGAGTGAACATCTATTATTTTTTTAGTATGAAAACTAGAAGTATTTTAAAAGTATTTGGAATACTTTTGAAGTATTCTAAATAATGTATTCGGAATACTATTTTTTGTAAGTATTCGAATATTTATTCTAAATACTTTTAAAAAGTATTTTATCCAAGTCTGCTGGTTAGATATAGTATATTATGAATTATATTAAAATGTCGCAACAACGAAAACGAAAACATACTACTTTAACTTTAGTTGAAATATTTGAAATTTGAAATAAAATAGAAAATGGTGACAAGTTAGTAAACCTCGCTAACAAATTTGAAGTAGGTCGTACAACAATTTATGATATAAAAAACAATAAAAAAAAAGATAAGGTCTTTTTTCAAAAATAACGAAAGTTTGAAAAGTATGTGCAAAACATTAAAAACTGGTGAGTTTCCTGAAGTTGAAGATGCCTTGTATTTATGGTTTTTGCAAAAATGTAATCGACATACACCTATTTCGGGCAAAATTTTGAAAGAGAAAGTATTTTTATAAAAAAATCACACACAAAGAAGATTTTCAAGCTAGTGACAGCTGGCTAGATAAATTTAAAAATCGTTTTGATGTGAGATTATTGAGTATGACGGGATAAAACTGTCATGTGATGTTGACAATGTTGAACCATACAAAGAAATATTTCAAAAAGTTATTCAAAAACTATCATCAACACCTGATCAAGTTTACAACGCAGATGAAAGTGGTTTGTTTTGGCGTCTTTTATCAAAAAAAACATTTGTTCACCGTGAAGAATTGAATGCTCCTGGACGAAAAATAGCCAAAGACAGGATAACTTTTATGCCTTGTTCAAATGCAAATGGCACTCATAAATTAAACTTATTAGTTATTGGTAAGGCAAAAAATCCTAGAGCTTTTATAAATGTAAACCATCCTGTTGATTATAAAAATCAAAGCAAAGCATGGATGACAAATTCTGTTTTTTCCGAATGGTTTCATGAAACATTTGTACCTTCAGTGAAAACATTTAACAAAAAACACAACTTATCTAAAAATGCCTTGCTAATTTTAGACAATAGTCCTGGGCATTCTATTGAAAATTTAAATCACAGTTTTATCCGTGTAATGTTTCTACCACCTTATGTTATACCTATTCTTCAGTCAATGGATCAGAATGTTATTTAGGCAGTGAAAATTCACTATGAAGAGTCTGTTGTACAACGTTTTGTCTAAAGATGACCGTATGATTAAATGTTTAAAAGAAATAAATTTAAAAAATGTAGTATTTTCTCTTGCGAATGCTTAGTCAAATGTTAGCAAACAGGTGATAGTTTGTTCGTGGAAAAATCTGTGGCCAAATATGTATTTATTGGAACAATACAAAAAGAAGACTGCTCTCAACCTAAAATATGATAAAGAAAATGTTGAATTAAATCAGCTACAAGTTTTGATTACAAAAAAACTCATGGACACGACAGACGAACTAAAAATCGACGGTATAAAGAATTGGATTGACGGTGAGAAAGAAGAAATCAACCAGTTTTTGACAGATGATAAAATAATCCAGGAAGTGACGGCCGAAGAAAAGGATGATGGGAATTACGATAATAAAGGAGGAGAAGTAGCTGTTCAAACAATAACTCACTCCACTGCAATAGATTATTTTATTATGTCTATTACATGGGCAGAAGAGAACGGAGTAGATGCATGTGATATTTTGGTGCTTAAACGACTACAAGAAAAAGTATTAAAAGTATCATTTCAAACAAAAAAAACAAAAAAAAAATTAATAATTTTTTTAAACCTGTCTCATAAAAATATTAATTAAATATAACTATGTACGTATTATTTATATTTTATAATAATTACAATAAATAAATAATAAATAATAATATATATATAATTATAATAATAATAATTCATTTTTTTTATATGTGTCAGTAAAAATGTAAAATTCAATAAGTAAAAATGCGGTTTTATGTGAACCCCTGTTAATCTGCCGTTTTCGTTAATCCGTCAGTAGCGTGGTTTGATATGTGTTGGATCATCGAGATTGTGCTGTATATTTAAAAACAACCACAAGTATGAAATATCGTTTCCTATTGGTGAACTAGTTTAGTATTTAGTATAGACGTATTATTATTATAGTTCTTCATTTGCTAAAATGTACCTATATGTTTGAATGCTGAATTTACGAAATCAGCAATGCCGTTGCTGAATCTGCGTACTTGCCAACTGTAGGAATATAAAATTGCAGATAGCATGAAATGCATGAAAAAAGTCTGCTTAACGAAAGAGATCGGTAAGCTTATGTTGCTGAATTTACGTATTAGGTAATGGAGTTGTTGATTTTGTTGTAATTTTTCTGCCGATTTAATGAAATTGGTAATTCTACGAATTCCACACAACACACACACACATTTACCATTATAGCGCACTCCTTGGATAACTAATTATATTCAAATATTGTTACCAGAACGAGGCTGTTGAAGTATTTTCAGTTAAAATTAAAACATCTTTACAAAATAATAAATATCTTTTGCAAATAATTTACAATAAATAAATATCTGAGCTAGTATATGTATATCAGTAAATGTTTGACCGATCGTTGTAAATAGTAATACAATTTAAATTTTATTCGTGAATAAAAATATTTTTTCTGAAAAGATGGTAAATATGAATCATAAGGGTCCCTTATAGGCTCCTACTATTAGTGTCTGTGAGATACACAATATTATATAATCACGTTAGCTGTGTGGCTCGTGTCACAATATAGATACACCGTTTTGTTAGACAGAGACCGCATCCGATAGTCTAATTTATTATTATTTATTTGCATACTATACTCTTGTCAAACAATTAATGAGTGATATCACCTTAATTGGAGAACAAAAATACAGAAAATTACGAAAATCACGAATGTATTTCTCTTTCAGTTGTCGTACGCTGTTCGCAGTGCCGCGTTAAGCTATATTGCCGCCCCGGGGCAAATTAAAATATGCTGCTCTTAAGAAAATTACAATTCAAAATTATGTTCACCACACTATTAATTACAAACAGTAGCGTATAAACGGGGAGGATGCAAAGATACTACATATGCAAGAACAATAAATTTACAAATTATTTATATCGATATAATGTATATTTTAAGTATCTAATTCTTACTTATATTTAAATTTTATAATTATTAATTAAATCTCACATGTAAATTTTAAAAAATTACCAAATGTGTCAAATTATAATCATTTATTACTTTTTTTTACTACTTTTTTTTATATTAATTTTTTTCTTGATTTGATGGTTGCAAACTGGTGGATAATTTCTGACCAATCAGTATGTTTTAAAAGATCATCTTCTATGTTTAATATTGAAAGCGATGACATTTTTTCCTCTATTAAAGTGGATCTTAGATAATTTTTTATTCGTTTTAATACGGAAAATGATCGTTCCCCACTTGCATTTGTTGAAGCCATACAACAAAATATACGCATTGCTATTTCAACGTTAGGGAATGATGACAATAGTGCAAAATCAGTGAGACATTTTAAAAGCTTAATGAATGATGATTTTTCCTGTGTTGAAAAAAAACCAAGAATTGATTTAAATTGCACTGCTTCTTCTATAAACGAACTATCTAGATCTTCTGAATATAATTCTACTAGATTTTTAGCACTGTCACGTATATTATCTGTATCCATTGATTCCATGACTAATATAAAACCAAAATTTTTATGAAGTTCAGTGTAAGCTAGTTTTCGTTCACATTAATCGGTCAATTATAACTAAGAATACTCCACACTTCATCTTTTGACAACTTTCCAATACTTTTTCATCTGCAGTTTCATTTTCATCAAAAAACCTTTTTCTTTTTTTCTTTCTTGAAATTTCCCAGGAAAAACATTTTTCTGAAGACATTATTTTTGCTTGTTCTAAGAAAAAGTCAAATTTGTTTCTAATGTCTTCTAAATATGTTTCCAATGATTTGTATAATGTTACAACTGTGACTAAATCAATATCAATAGATTGTAAAGTTACACTTGTCGCATTAAATCTTTGAAGTATAGGCGTCCACATACAAATCATGAAACAAAAATTTAAACTCTTAATTTTATTATAAATAGAAGAGGCTTCATGTCTAGTTTCCTTTTTTTGTCTTTCATCATCACGAATAGTTTTTAAAGCACTGAGAACTTGTTCATATCCATTAAATATTGCTTTACAAACATCGTACCTCGAAGACCAACGAGTTGTGCACATTTTTTTTATCTGAACACAATCTGAATTATTATTAATTATTTCACATAAAATATTCCATCTATATGTTGACGCAGAAAAAAAATTGTAAATCCCTTGGAAATTAAAAAAGAAAATTGTTCCTTCTTGAGTAGTGTCAGCGGCATTAGACCCTATTAAATTTAAATAATGCGCCGAACATGGCACGAAAAATGCTGTTGTAGAATGACTTTTAATTCGAGACTGTAACCCATTATAAATACCCGACATATTAGACGCATTGTCATAAGATTGACCTCTGCAGTATTTCAAATTTATGTTAAGTTCTGAAAATTTTTTAAGTATTGCCAATTCCATATCTGTTCCTTTATGTCCTACAGAGGACATAAAACCAAGAAAACGTTCTACAGGCTTGTCTTCTTTTGTAATATACCGTACTGCAATTGTGAGCTGATCATGTGTTGTTATATCAGGATTCGAGTCCACTATAAGAAAAAAATATTTTCTTCTTTGATTTCCGATACAATTTTGTCTAGTATAGTATTACTCATCAGCATTATGAACTCGTCGCATATAGTTGATGACAAATAGGACACATTTCCTTTTCCTTTATTTCCATATTTGGCTATGTGTGCAGAAAGAAATGGATCAAACTTTGCCAAAAGTTCTAAGTAACCTAAGTAATTACCATTTTGTTTTGAACCAAAAGTCTGGTTGTCTCCTCTAAAAGCTAAGCCTCTCGATGCTAAAAAGGAAATTGTCTCGACTATTCTATGTAAAACATTTTTCCAATAAGAAGTCTGATTTTCAATATCTTTTTTTAGTTCTATATCAATCACACTACAGTCTTTTTTTATTCGAGAAAACCAAATTTTCACTGATTCAGCATGATTTTTACTGGTTTCATGTTCATGTAAAATTTCATTACACTTTTTCCAGCTTATAAATCCTTCATCTTTATTTCCAAAAACCGTTGGTTTTGGTGAGAAAAGTAAACATTGATAACAAAACAGCGCGTTTTTGGACGGAGAATATACAATCCAATCTCTAATTTTTTTTTCACCGTTTTGTAATTTTCTCATAAAATTATCAGGAGTTAGGCATCTACTTGTATTGCCAATTATTCTTTTTGTTTTTTCCAATTGTTAATTTTGTAAGTCTAACTTTGGAGGGTTTTCAAGTAGGAATTTAATAGAATCTGAATCGAAGTTCCATTTTGCTGGGTCGGATAAAGGAATTTGTGATGCATGACCAACGTTATGAAAAGAACTTTTGATGATTTCAGTCTAAATTTAGTAAAAAAAAACAATGCAAATAAATCACGGGTCTAATTTAGGAATCGTACAAAAAAAAAAATATAGGAATATTCCGAATATAACGATATGTTCATACATTTCATTAAAATATAAATATATAACCATACCTATATCGATTAACTACATAATTATTATTTAATAAATAATAGGTATATCTGTCGTTTCAAAATCCAAAAGCCAATGATAGTCAGTCTAAAATATTATATATTATAGCACAATATAGCAAATAAACGAGTCACGGTAAACATTTCTGTATCAGTTTCCGATTCCGCAATCGTTTAGCCGGGCACCGGCTAATGACGGTCATTATCACGATAACGACTACGATAACCAATCGACTAATAATTCCTAGAACAACCTCATAGCGCATGCACAAGTCACTGAATTTAGTTATTGAATTTTTTTCGTTTTCAAAATCGGTACGAAAAAGAATGATTTATTTAGTTACTTTCAGTGACCCGATTTAAATTTTGAAAATAGATCTGTATTAGTTGACCTTTTTGCTAGGTTATGTAGAAAAAATAATTGAGATTTTAAAACTGTTTGAATGAAAATAACAAAAAAATAGTTTTATAGTTTTTAATAAATTAACAGTATATTTTTAACGGTCGACGAATAACGGTCCACGCTCCGTATCGAATAAAAGATATTATATATTAAAATTTATACTCAAAAATTAATTGGCATTAAGAATAAAATTGTTTAGCTGATTATTCATATGATATTATTAATCATTATTCATTTGATGTTTTATAACAAAAATTCATAAAAAAAAAAAAAAAAATTGTAACATTAAATAATCAGTAGGTGCCGATCAAAATTAATATTTTTTTCAATAATACCTGTCGTTCATTTGCCGAAGTCCCTTCTTCTGCGTGTTCATTGTCATTTTGAACGTCCACCTGATTAGTTTGAACTTCATAAGCACCATCTAAATTATTTCCTATTTTATCTATGTTTTTTGGACTATATTTCTATAATTCCGATTCCGTCTATTACATAATATTATATTTATACGTGAGTAAAGTATTAAGAAATATAATGGTATAATTTAGGTATGAAAGTACGACAACGTATTATACTTTTTCCGGATTTGTAGCAGCAAAATATGAATGAAGTTTTGGAATTTTTCTAAGCATATTATCGGTCTTTTCTAGTTTTTCTTTTGCCGCCTTTTTGTATGCTGCGCCGCTTAATCTAATTCGTTTGTCTGACATTATTGTTGTTGTGAAAATATTATTACCTACTTTATATTAATATTATTAATGCACATAACTCTTGTTGTTGTGAAAATAATATTTCAACTGTCAAAAAAAAAAAAAAAAATCGTCGAACTGAAAAAAATGTTTGCACATCTAACAGTGTAATGTGCCGATTATCGAGATAAAATATAATGATATATTGATATACATAGTTGTACCCTACTATTTTTGAGGAAAACGTACAGGAATATCGAAAATAGTTTATACGATAACAGTACAACTAGTACAAGTTCTTAATTCTTATCACCTTGTGACATGCAGCGATAGACCGCGGCTTTTTCGTGGTATTTATGAACGAAATAATAATGTATTATAGTTATACGGTCAATGGTCATACAAGAAAAATTATAATAATATATATTTTTTTTTATGTTGATCCTCAAAATTTGCCGCCCCATCAAACACCAAAAAATTTTCCACCCCGGGGCAATTTCCCCCCCCTTGCCCCCCGTTTAACGCGGCTCTGACTGTTCGACGGAAGAGACTCAGTTTCAAATGGCTGCGTGCATTCAATTATGATTATTTAACGGTCATGTCTACTTGTGCGTCGGAAATCAAAATTATGGACGACGTTGTTTAATATGATTCTATTACATCCATATTGATAGTAATATCACATCACCAAATTAATATACCTACCGTTAAGAAATTATTTATAAAACATAATTCATACGATGTACAGGAAGTATCTAGAATAATGTAAATCAGTTCGGAATTGAGAGAAGACTTTAATTTTTAACAAGCATTGTAAATATTATGTATGTACGTGGAGACAAGAACTCTCTGGGAGGTTTAACATCTCTCTCTCATTACATTGTACAGGCTCTATAAACTCGATCGATTTATATATTATAATTTATACTTCGTAATGCATCATGTGTGTTTACTCTACATCTTGTACTTGTTTGAACGTTATAATCCTAATCATAGTTGCTTACATTTATTTTAAAAAATAGTCGGTTTTAGCATGGTAGATATTTAACATCGTGTATAATGATTAATTACTGCATACTAAGATGTATTAATTAGTGATTAGTAAGAGGAATTAATGACAAATTTCATACATGTATTTCAAAAGGAGTTATATTATAATACATTTACAGTTATAATTAATGATTAATCCATAAAACATAACTAGTTTACATAAAAAAAAAAAAAAAATAGTCGATGAACTATGTACAATTAAATTTTGTAATACAATCATTACATAAAATGAGACAAAAATCACAAATTTTTTTGAGCATTTTATTTATTAATGATGTTAACAGTGATATTTTTGAACGAAATTTGAAGGCATGAAAATAAAACAGAGATAGTCATGACTTGACAAAAAATCGTAGTTCGTAGAATAAAATAATCTCATACTTATTATCATTTCAATCAGTTGCACTAAATATATTTACTACACTTTATCTATGTAGAATACATATTTATGGATCATACTATTGAAATAACTATAATTTATTATAAGACACGTGCATCTTTTTTCATACAACTATTTTATATTATTTTCTTGTAATATTAATAAATATTTTCCCTAATTACTAAAGATGTTTTACGATTTTTTTCTACACCTCCGTATTCCATATATAGAATGTCCTACGAATATATGAATATTTTAATCACGACCTAACTGAACTATGTTTATTTATTTATAGAACACTCTGTATCTCAAATTCTAGAGATTACAAATAAAACTGAATAGTCAGAGCTTAAAACATTTCTTGACGAGGAAACTCAATAGTTATCACTATAAATTGACCACATCATTACATTATAATATTATTGTATTATTATATATGAATTATTAAATATATACATACTGCCAACATTTAAAAATGAATAATTTTCAAAATGTAAAAATATGATTGTATAAATAATAAGTTCATGTACAAAAATATTAAAGCTTAGTTAAGTCGTCAAACTGTACTAAATATTGATTATGTTATCAGGTATTGATGGTATCGATATATATATATATATTCGATATTGAGGTATCGATGGTAAAAACTAAAAATTGAAAATTAATAATTAATTATTTTCGTTCGTATAAATTGTCGTCGAGGTCACTCGAGTATCAATTATTACTAGCTGTACCTATCTACTTAAAATATTCAAGATACTTTAATCATTTTTAATTGACAATTATTTGTTAAACGGACCATTTTATCCTAATTGATCCTAAAAGTATTGTTAAATTGCATAAAACTTTTTAAATCTATTAATTTTGTTTAACGATCTTTTGATTTTTTTATTGACAAAAATTTAACAATTATTATTTAAACTAACATTTTTAAAATGTAAATATACAAAGATAAAGTTTTTGATATCTCTAAAGTAGTTTAATAATTATTATTATTATTATTATGTATTTATTTATTGATTATATTTACAATGGAAGCATCAATGTTTGAATCTATTTTATATGTGGCTTACATTTTTAAGGTATAGTATAAAATATTTACTGTAAATATTTTAATCGAAATTCTTCGTATAAAAATATTATACACTAATAAGATAATGGTTTTAACTCCCTAAAAGTATTATACTCATAACATTGTATTATTATTGAAGCCTATGGACCATAATTTGAAAAGAATTTAGAATTTAAAATATAATATGTTTCACAAAATTTTATATACCTTGGTATATAAGAACATAAAAAAAAAAAAAATAATAATAATAATAATAATGCCGTTTTCTTACTATTTTAATTACATTAATAATTTTTTACATGAAATTCCTTTTAGTTGAATAATTTATTGCTTAAGAAAATTTGAATTTAAAGATAATCTTTCAATATAGTTCACAACATTGTACACTGTACACTGTGTAATTGTTATAATGATAAGTATTTTTACAAATAATATTAGTAGGCATAACTACGCCCAATTTTCATTTTGAAATTCCATGGCACTCCTATATATTGTACAGTGATTTAGTATGATGACTTGGTCAAGGTTAATATAATTATTTACCATTATAAAAATGCTTATAATGTATTCCTAAAACGATAATTGCGTTGGAGGCTCAACAATATTTTTTAAGACAATATACATATATGAATAACAGCATTTACCTTTAAACACGTTTTCTCTATCTCGACATTCTCTTTAGAGAGTTTATTGGTAATATCTGAAAACAGTCACACACGAATTAAACCTAAGATATATTGAAATAACTGAAATGATATATTAGGGCGATCATTACAAATCGTATAAATGTTATTTTTATTCAACTCTTTTAATGAATATTAAGTACAACTGTTTTGTAAAACAATAAAAATTCAAAACTATGTTTTATGAAGAAAGTTTGATTATCATTTCAATGTTAAGAAAATTAAAAAATAATTATGAATTAATATTGATTTTATTATATCTTAAATGTATAAAAAAATGTGTTTGGTTTGACTAGTTAAAAATAATGTTTACTTATTTAAAATATATATTTTTATAAAATAAGGTAGGTACTGCAATATTTCAAAGTATAATTTTTCAAAATAAAAATTCTATTTTAATAGTATTAATTATCTCTAATAGTTTTATGATAAAAATACATAAAATAATTGTTAACCTATGGTAACTGATTAAGATAGTTAAAATTATTTATTATAAGTAAGAGATTTATGTTTAATAGATTTTTTTTTTTAACTAAACACTACGAATGACGTCAATTGATGTTTTGAGAGTCCGTTTTGTGTAGGCAGAAAATGCCAATTGGCGTAATTACACTGAAGTATGTACCGATTTTCATACTGTGTTTATAGTGAACCTTGATTAATAAGTTGTATACTTGATCCTCTTTATTAAAATATCCAGCCTTTTTAGATGCAAACACATGATCTTAAAAATTTAATTTTGATAATTTTTTTTTTCAAAATTTATCAGGGTCATGTTGTCTTCAATATTATACAATGTTGAGAATTCAAAAAATTAAATTATCAATAACATGTAAACTGTTATATTTTTAACCATTAATTATTATTTTAATATACAAATAGGTCACAGGTATCTAACATGTATAAACAACAACAAATTAATATTAAAAACCGTAAATTAAATTTTAAAAATCAATACAGGTTGATACTTTACATAATGATGAAAATACATTTTTAATTAATGACTATTTTTATTATCTTTTAATTAAGTACATGATATATTAAATAATTATACCAACATTTTGAAAAAATATCAATTAATTTTTCAATTAATTGAAGTTTGAAATTTTTTATTTATACATTTAAGAAATAATAAAAAGCAATTATTGTGAAAGAAAATTATAATGAGGTATTAATTTGTTCATTTTTCGTTTTATTACTACAGTTTTAATTAATTTGTGGCTGTAAAGTTAATCGACATTCTTAACCTACTCAAGTGCCAATAATATTATGAAAAAACAATACTTTATTGATTTCCTGTAAATATGTGTCATATGATACCTATATGTATAGTTATAAATATTCTTACTGCAAGGACGTTGTTCAATTATTAGTATTCCATAGTAAACATTATAAGGTTACGGTTAAACATGTGATTCTCTAACATTTATTTCATTTTTTAGAATATTTACATATGTTACAGCCACAAATCGGTGTCTTGATATAGGTTAAATATGAAATATGAAAAAAAGACTAAAAATGATTTAAATTTTTTTATTTTGGATATTATTTGACACACTATTAAATACATTGAAATCACAAACACACATAATACGGGCAAAGTCTGCAAGGTAATACAAACTAGCTGATTATTTACTATTTGACTGAATACTGGTGACGTTCCATAATCAATTATAAATTAAGATAAGATAAAAACCTAATCGAAAAATAAAGATTGACAATGTGTATGGAAAAACGCAATATATCTAATTAAATATCAAGAAAATAATTTGTCTTTTGATTTTATTTTGAATAGGCTAAATTTGTTTAATATATCGAACAAATACAAATACATCACAAATCAATAAAATGACCAATAAAAATATGCACTTTGCATTGAAATCTGGGCCCTAGTTATAACATATAGAGTATAATGTTTACGCTTTGGTAGGTAATTCATTTTTAATTGATATACTTTATCCCTAAATAATAATTTACTATACCGGGAAAGTGTATATCTATTACTAGTAGGTATTATAGTCAAAAGAAAGTCGACTTGTTAACACAGTTGTATTGATGCAATAAACGATTCATCATAAACTTTATAAATCGTGAATAAAAAGTAAGGAATATTATTTCCTAATTATAAATCAACGTTAGGATTTTCAATTTTTTCCAATTGTGGATAAGATTAAGCATTTCCATTTTCTATATAAATTTTTGAATGCCAACACCACTATATAATATAATATATTTATTTTATGTTAATTTATTTAAACTCAATGTTAATTCAAATCAAAAATGTAATTAAGCGTATACATTTTTTAACAAATATTTTGTCTCCATTTTTAACTATCATAAGTTCGTACGCTGAATAGTGTAAAGAATTTAAAGAATGTAAATTTTTATGAATAAACGTGTTTAAATTTAAAAAGTTGATGATTTTCTTAAACTATTTTGTATATTTCCTTCCTAATCGATTGGGTTTTTAAATTGATTTTGATACCAGTGTACTGGAATAGTTAATTATCTTAAATTTTTACAAAATAACCAAAATATTGGTACTCACGAAGTGAGTAAAAACAGTTTACAGCAAACATTATGCTCAGCGTATGTTGTTTTTTTTTAATTTAAACTTGTCTGCATGTTTTACGAGTATGATGTTATTCTTAACATATATGAAACTATATAAATATAATGTCTCGGTTTGAAGATCTACATAATCCGATAAAAAATTATAAGTTATGGAGTGAAAAATACAAAGATTCCAAAAATATTTAAGATAATTTACAAGTTTAAATTCAAACGTAAAAGTTTATTATAAAAACATTAAAAATTAAAACGTTTCCGATATTCTTTGATTTATCAAAATTAATATTTAAGTTTTTTTAATAATTGTTTTCTTTTTTTTCTCTGTAGAAATATTTCCAATAAGTGTATTGTATTATTTTATTGAATTATAATCAAGATCAATAATATTCCACATAAAAATAATTTCCCCTTTCTTCCGTGAACTGCGTATAAACATCAATACTGCTAAACGTCACGGTTTATCCCATTTATCGTTTTATTTTATTCCATACTAAATAGTAAAAAATATTGATAGAATCATTGCACACGTGTACGTAATAAATTATAATTACATTTCTAAAATCAATACTCGGTTATCTATAGACACAAACAAACGATTGTTTTGACCAATTTTGACAGTTTATTTAAACTTTGATAATCAAGTTTACAGTTTATATAGTGACTTAAATTATAGCGTTGGTGATGATTACAGTATACTGGTTAATGATTATAAACCATTTATGTTTGGAAATTAAATTGTATAATGTATCATATTATATTATTAGTGTTTAGTGCATAGATCTCTATATTATTATTATTATTTTTTTTTTTTTATTTAAATTAAGACTCGGCAACAATGGCCATTGGCAACAATGAGTTTAACTCTAAATTATTTACATATTAAATACTATTGATAAGGTTGGATTTAGTAATAAAGGTTATTATGAGTCTTATGTTGTCTGGGTAGAGGGCTTCTGACAGATCTATATTATTGAACGGGGTACACGTGTACGCGTTAGTACGCGACAAAGACTAAAATGAAACGTTCATGCGCTATTTTTCAAAACGTCAAAGAATGTTTTTCGTTTGTCTTGAATAATTGTTTTCCATTACGCGTAAACAGCCATGCTGGCCCGTGTAATTCGAACGTATATAATATAATATATTTAATGCGTATATTAAAAACGGACGCATAAAAAACACGCAGTCGTTACATAAAGTTTCCTCGTATTTTCCGCAGGGATAACGAGCCGTCGGTTAGTGGGAAGAGGGTGAGAGGAGATTTTCCTTCCAGGAAAGGAAAAAACAAGCGTGGCAAGGTGGTGCTGGGGGTTTTTAAAAGGATAAATCGCACACAGAAAAGTTATAAAATATAATAATCATAATAATGATAATAATAATAATGTTAATTGATTGAGGAGGACGAATAAGTAGTGCTCAGTGGTGAAGCGGAAAGGTGAGTGAGTTGTACTTGCTAAGTACATGCGGGTGATAGGTGGTTTAGGTACATGTTTTATGGGTGAGTAGACGCATGCGAGGGGTGGGAAAATCGTAAAAAATGTTTGAATGTATAACGAACGCAAAAACGTTACACGTCGTTGCTCTGTCGGTCGAAAAGCCGAGCGTCAGGTATAGGATGGCGGCGGAATGCTGCAGGGTGTCGCGCGTGACCGTCCGTAAATAGGGCGTGAGGGGGGTGCACGGTCGTCTGTTGTAGGGGGGTGGTGTGACATTGGCTGAAAAGTGGAGCGTGCGGGGTTGAGGTACGTGGAGTGTGTCGTTCACGTACATCGTGTGCGTACCTAAACTACCTAAGTCTGCCCGATACACATCCACGTATGGTGCACGTAGTTTTTCGTGCACTCATTGGGGGGTGGTGGTGGGACGGGAAGCGGCACCACCATCGTCGCCACCACCTCCACCGAGAGCCGGAGCTTTCGCACGGCGCGCGATCAGTGGCGTTGTTTCGCCGACGATTTGGCCGCACTGCGCGCACGTTGCCCGACCGCTGCCGCCGCCACTACACCAGTCACGCCCCGGTCTGCACTGACCCTTGGCATCGGCGCTTGTGTGTGAGCGTATACGCGATACCGACTCCTCGTTCGCGTGCGCGTGTGCGTGAGTGCGCCCGTGTGTACATGCGCGCGCGCGTCCGTACGTGTGCGTTCCTCCCGTGATAGCGCGCGCAGTGCCATTATCCGCTCAAACGCCGCTCGTCGTGTGTCGTCCTTCGAGCGCGTACGTAACCGCAATAATAACAGTAATAGTAATAGTAATAACAATAACAATAACAGCCGACTGCCGCCTGTCGCCTGTCTCTCTTTCACTCAATCTCTTTCGCTAACCCTTCGTCTGCATCCCATCCACCTTTCTCCGTCCCTTTCGGATTTCGCCAGTGGCGTAACGTTTAACAACTTCAATTCGACGTGCACGACGTGATCGGGGTACACAGCCCTGTCCCGAGCGTTCGTTTCCTGATCCCTTCGCGTCCAACGCGGTGTTAGTGGCTGCTGTCCTTGGTTTTTCTCGCCCACGCCCGCCGTCCTTAAACATGATCTTCTCCTCCGTCACTATTGTTCACGTAAAATAAGCCCACCCCCGTAGTTACGTAGTGCTGTTGTAGTACCGACACCGTCTCTCGCATAGTCCCGCGCTGTTAACTCGCGTCCTGTCGTAAAACGTCAATCCGTCATGCCGGCGGCGGCGACGGTGGTGCAGACTGTTCCGGATGACAGGCGGTGCTCTTGTTGCCCGATGACATGTTGATGGTACATTCGCACTCATGTTGCTGCAGCAGGGACAACAAGGTACTACGCTCGGCCCGAAAAACACGTCACATCTCCTACAGTCCATACAGAACAGGCTTATACCGGGATGGAGCGTACACTTGGCCAACGACAATAGGCTTTTCTACTGCAAGTAAGTCGACTCCGTCCGCGAATGCGAATAGTTGGACCGTTTCGTGTTGAAACCGCACACATCAAGAATACCGACGTTTTGTATCAGTTTTCGGATGCCAGCAAATGGTCAGGGGACACTGCGCGGCAGACTTGAAAGAAATATGTTGGTGAAAATATGTTTCGATCGGTTGAACCGCGTAAACGGGTGTATGCGTATATATATAAAAACGCGACTGCTGACCCCTAAGTGTAAGACTCGGATTTGCATATTTAATGGCTGGTTTTGTTTCACGCTTCATTGCAGACACATTTTACCGGAGACTTATTGTTTGAAAACCAGTGAACAAAAAAAAATAAATAAAAAATACGTGACAGACAAATACCGTCTACTGTACGGGATCTCGACCGCTTATCTCTTGGAAAAAAAACGCGTAATAAGTATAACCGATTCGGAAACACCGACTATTATTATAATTTCGTCCCTTGATTCGTGTTTTACTACGATTTTGCATATTACGCGCGTCCAATACTTTGTGTTCACTTATACGAATACGATTTGTAAGTGACGATTATGATCCTCCGAAATCAACTACGAAAATTAATATTAATATTTTATTTATTTCTTATCGTTTTGTGTGTCCGTTATTGCGCATGGTTATAAGTAGATTTGGAATTACTATCTAATCGTATATGACTTCGGTGGATAGTAGATGTCATTAAACTCATTTGGATGTGTAACATCGTAATATGATTCCATTTCGGAAAATTCTTATGCCAACGCTAGTTAGTTCATATAATCTCTAAAAAGCTTCAATTTGATAGCGTTTTCAATATTTTCAATAAGATTCTAGAACATGGTATTGTTTCATAATCATTACGTTATTGAGAAATTGATTTTTACATACTCGGTATTTTTGTTCAAATCCAAGGGAGTATTGTATAATAATGTAATATGTTATCAATATAAATTTTTAATTAAAAATAGTGATTAAAATAATCATTAATTGTTTGGAAATGTGTATTTAGATACCTAGGTAACTTTATCGATATTATTAATATTTTTACGAAAGTAAAATTTAGTTTTCAAAACATTTAATAACATTAGTTTATTAAATAAAGTTTCATAACTTATTGACGTATATAAGAGTTTGTTTAAGTATTTAAAATAAATGCCAACGATTAACGTATTGTTATATTATGGAGTATTTCTAAAAGCACTAGAACTTAATTGTAAACATAACTGTCTTAATTGGATTCGTTAATTTCAAATTTTAAAAATATGTGCATGTGTGCGATTCATAATATTTTTGTTTGTTCTGATATGTACACAAATGTAACGTGTATACCGCGTAACGTTATTGGAAATTAGTTCCAACTAAAGAGTAATTTGACAAATAGGCACTAAGAAAACGCTGTACGTATCGATTAACAAATCGATAACAATCTTCGTCTATAATAATATAACATAGGCACTACGTAGCAATTTTATTATTGGTATGACTAAGGGCTTTAAGTTAATGATGGAGTTTATTAATCTTTTATCATAAATATAGATTGAACACATTGTTCAAGTCACACTGTTGTGATTTTTTCCACACCCGAATTTTAATGGGAGATTTACATGTTATTTTGTTCGAAATATTCAAGTCATTATGAAGTCGAGTTATGGTAAAAACCCAGCGTTACAATGCAAATTAATTGCGACAGTAAATTATTTTGTTCCGTTCAATAACACGTAAATTAATCCTTTTTGTCGTACCATTTTTGGTTATTTGTTTCTATCAATATGTCATCAATACGTTTTAGTCACAAATAAAAACAATATTCGAGTTTTATCAATCTTCATATATATATAATACGACTCGTTATAATATACATATTTACTTAACTATTCTCATGGGTGGTTTGATGGCTAGCAAATTATTCAACACGAATTACACATTAAGATACAAACTCTGTAACCGCAATATTCATACTGTTATACCAGGGCACACGCCCGCTGGTATTATTGAAAATGTACCAACTACCAAGTACTATTTGTATTAATTTTCAGTGTGTATAACACTATCCATAAATATTTATGAAGTCAAAACAGCCCGATGATAATCACGACGTTGTGCTTCGCTTTCATTAAATTTATTTGTTACTGTAATATATTTTGTAGTTGTGTTTAGGAGTATGTGTATTGTCGATAACGTACGAATATTGTTTAAGAATAAATTATTAGAGCCAAATGATTATCATGTAAGCGGACAGCTTCTAATTGTTGTGCATTCGAAACAGACATGTGAAATTGATTTATATTAACTGTCATTATAAATTACTTTAATATATTATACTTATATTCTACAAGAATTTTGTGGAATCGGCACTGATATTTGATTATAAAATATAATTTGTCGAAATAGTTGTAGAATCTACGTGTAGTTTCTATCAAAAGTTATTGAAATTTCTAGGTTGCGTCAATAATTTCTGAAGACATTAAATTAAATTATGTTATATAAATGTATTGATAACCATATTTTAATAAATATTCTATTAATAACTAATTATCTAAATTTTAAATCTCTCGATTGTCTAATAAACTGTTAACATATTGTAATAACTTTTAAATTTTATTCATATGTATACTTCTGAAAATTTATTGTTTGAGTACAATGTTTCTTTTTATATTAATAACACCAATTTTAATAATTTTATAATAATTATTATATATAATATCTATTATAATTATTAGAAAATAATAAAAAAATACATAAAAAAGTTTAATTTCAATGAAAAATTGATCTCAAACCGTTGGACATTCGTTTCGTTATAATGAATCTTTTTCTTTTTTTTTTTTTTTTATTCAAACTTTGAATTGTAGTTTTGTCCGTAATAATCATTTGTCATGTCTACCGACTTTTCAGTGATTAATAAAACAAATAACTGCGTAAACCATTGTACATATTTCAACATACACGAATACATGTTACAATAAAATAATAAATAATGGAACATAATTTTACAAATATTGTTAAAATTATTTGAAAAAGTATGTATACTTTGTGTATGACATTTAAGTAGCTTACATGCACATATCAACATAAAATAAATAAATATATACACGTACCTTTTATTTATTTTAATATTTCAACAAATTATTATTATATATATATATGAAGGCTCTAGTTTCAAAGTGTACAATCTCCATATTTTATGAAAATTGAGGTAGATATCGTTGCATATTCAATTTTCAGCGCTGAATTCGAATAACTGACTATTTTCAAGCAAAAGGGTCTATCTCCAATGTATTTTAAGATTGAAAATTGCATTTAGTTTCAAAAAGTACAATCTCCTTTGACAAATTGGTTTCAAAACGTACAATCTCACTATTGTCAAGCAAAATGGTCAATCTCCAGTATATTTTTAAACTTGAAATTTACATTTAGTTTCAAAAACATACAATTTTCAATCAAATAATATTTTTCTTGAGTTTTACTATAAAAATAGATTTATAAATACATTGTACACCGTTTGCACGGGTTTTCGCTTATCGATAATGACGACGTCGTCTTAATGATCATTGTCAATAATATTTTTTTATAGAATATTACGTTTTCAGTTGACTGCGCTGTTGTAAACTTTACGTCGTGCCTTTCGTCTGTATATAATATAATATTATTATATTTTGTTTATGCGTATAGTTTTTTGTGTATGACGTATAATCTATTTAAAATTTAATACAAAAATAATGGAAGTTAATATTACTCCTACAACTGACAATAAAACTAGAAAAAGGATACGAAATCCAGCTGAAGGAAAAGAAACCAGCAGAAAAAAATACGGTTAGTGTTATATATGAGTACAGATAATAGTCATAAAAATATTTAGTATTTTTTATTTTTAACAAGTTTTATTATTAAATAATTAAAATAATTATAATCAATAATAATTAACATTTTTCATTTTTTTGTAAACTTCTAAACTAAATAAAAAAAGAATAAAGACTTCTAATTTTTAATTTCTCAATACCTATTTATTATTTAGTAAAGTTATTTTCAAAACAAGCAATCTCCTTTTGTTAGTTTCATACTGTACAATCTCCAAACAAAATTTTGTCAGAACAACGACAAAATCTTGTTTTTTTAAGCAAAAATCTAGTAAATCATCTTTGCATAACTATATGAAAAGGTTAAAAAATCCGAATGGAGATAAAATATTTTTTGATTAAGTTATTGGTTTTTTTTGGTTTTCTGAAAATTTAGTGAACATGGAGAATGTACATTTTGAAACTAGAGCTCTCATATATATGTGTATGTACGTTTAATTTAAGAACTAACTCTAAGTGAATAAAATAATATTTTTAAAAACATGCAAAAAAGCTTTATAGAATATTATACAATATTCAATCTATATTCAGTAACTCATTTTTTTTTAAATTTTATAATATAATACATGTATTAAATTTTTTAATCATTATTTTTACGAGTATTTATGATAATACAATATTAGTACTTTTGTGAGAGGATAGATTTAATTTATTTTTAAAAGAGATTAGTCTTATTATTGTTATAGCGCCTATATATATTCACATAATATATTTAATACTTATTAACTTTAAATACATAAATTGTTTTTTGTTTTTATGAACACAAAATGTAGGTTTACAGTTGTGAAGTAGGGTAAACGCTTTGTATTTTCCCCGTAGTTCGTATATATGACATTGTGTACAGTCTACTGAATACATAAAATTAATCTTTTCTGTAAATGTAAATGTTGAGTTTGGTTAATGTAATTATACAGTCATATAGGCATATAATTTACATGGCAAAACTATATGGTTTCTACTAATTATATTATATGTATAAGTGTAAAGTATTGTATGAATACCATAAGTTTTGGTTTTTTTGTTATTCATGCATAACAATGAAATTGATTTTATATGTCGATTTTGATCCATTTAAATGTTAAAAGGTCTTTTTCTTTGTATTATTAATTAAAATTATTAATTTGTATTATTATTTGCACTTGAGAGTA